GCAGGATTGGTCGAGAGTTTGGGGGCAACGGTCCTAGATTTTTTAAAATAGACCATATGAAATGAAAAAAAATACGAGTATTAAATTTTATTCCAAACATTTATTGAATATAAAACATTAATTAATAGGTAATGAATAATTTTATTACATAAACAATTAATTATGTGCAATAAAATACACTTTACTAAAAAAATTTAACAAAAAATAAATTGGATGTGATCACATTAACTTTTGTTGGGGCATATATACATAGAATTTATAAAAAAAACACCTTGTTAAAAAAAATTAATAGGGGGCATGTGCTCCAAAGTGCATCAATATACGTCCACCCCTAATTGCGGGTAAAACTTGTTTTGGGAATGTTTTACACATTTTAAGTGAGAAAAGTGTTTATGATATGCTTAAAAAATTAGGACAAAACTATTTTGTAAAACCGAGTAACTATAACTCGAAAATTAATATTCAATTACTCGTAAATAAGTACTGCCACATTGCGGTCATCCTTGTGCTTGTCAAAAAAGAATTTTGTTTGTTCCTAGGGTTTCTCTTTAAAAAAAATAAATAACACTGTACTTTTGTAAAAAGTAGAATTGCATGTGAGACTAGAAACCAAATTACATGGAGAATAACATTTTAGATTCAGGTGCACAGATATGAACAAAAACAAGACATGCATTTGAGAATTTAAGGTTCTTGTGTAAAAAAACAGGTCTTGGTAAAATGGTGTTTAAATATCTGAAGGGAAAGTTGCACCACAACACAAAATTTGAAATTTGAATTCCCTAATTGATTAAAGAGCAATGTGTGTGTGTGTGTGTGGAGAGAACTTATCAGTGAAAATTAGTCGCGCTCGCTGATAGCAGTCAAGTGTTCATCAATCTCCTCAGTTGATAACACTCTGAAAGATGTGTCTTCCTGTCTCACCACACCAACCTAACATTGTGTGCACCAGCAGCAGTCAGCAAAAAACATTTATTTTGTATATCTGTTTATTAAGCTGAGGAAGAACTGGAATTTTAAAAAAAATGTTACCTCAATCTCACTGGCCTTGAAATCCTCTTGTAATACTGATTGAAGAGCCGAAATTGCAGTCTAGAAAGAGGATGAATAAGTAAAAGGTAAAAACCCCTTGGGACATAAGAAGGCAAGTGTTTCTAGAAGAAAAAAAATGTAGCATTTTTTACCTGAACTGTTTCCTCGTATGAGAAAGCTGGGTCATTTTTCATCTTCTTCTCAAGAAAGTTGATTGCCTCTTGTTCTTTAGATCCAGCACTAGTTGCCTGCAAGTAATCAATCTATTAGTCGTCCTTCATACGGTTGGGAACTAAGACAGAAGTGAACTTAGATTGATTTGAATGGTAGAAAAATTTTAGTTAGAAAAAAGAGAAACAGCTTCCATTGCATTTCATGTCTGTAAAGATAGTACGAGTAGTACCTTATGACCAAAAAAATGACCAGCAGGATCACACTTGAAGAGCTGGGGTCCTTTTTCTTCATCAATACCCAAAACCATCGCAACTTCACATTGAAAACACTTAAAATGATGATGATGATGATGATGACGACGATGATTGTGTAATAAACTTGAAAACAACTTAAATGGAAATTAGAGGTGTGCATGTGGTTAGTGACAAACCAATTCCGAGGGGTCTCATGTAGGCATGCTGAGTATAAACCTGAGATTTGTCTGCAATCCTGTATGTATACATAGTGATATATCATTTTGACCATCAAGAACTTACATTTTCCAGGAAATTTACTCAATCAACAAAAAAACAAAAGAAAAGATTTTTAGGTGAATATTTAAAATTTAATTGCAACTAGAGCACCAAAATTCTGTGCCTAGAGGATCTAGATGCCTTATGTGCAATGACCTATTCCATCCATTCTCAAATGAGTGTTGATTTATACCCTTATACGCATTTAATAAAATGGTAAGGTTTCCTAAACTCAAGATAAATATGTCTTACAATGACTATAAAGCTCTTAATTAATTATATACTGAGTACATAGTACTATGGATCAGGAAACAAGAGTAATTAATGCTCTCTTGATATTCAAAAGTGACACTTAAGATATATCCAAAGCGACAATCAGTAAAGAGCAGAGTAACAGCACACTAGCACATGCACTATCGAACACGACCAACGTGAAATTTTGTGGACAAACTTAACATACCATCTGGAAAGCACTTCTACTGGCATTTCATAACCATATTTAAAACGGAACTCAGCAGCTTCATTCCTAGCCTGTTGGACCAAGGTCCTAGCATCAGCTATCAAAATGAATGGTAAACTTATGAGTAAAGATCTTGAGCTTAAATTTCAATATAAGAGCATCAAAATGCAGAAAACACGTATATGCTTTCAGCACCAAAATATTTTTCTCACAAAATACGTAGCAAAAAGTTTCTTAGTTTCTCTACATCTTGAACCATGAATTTGAATTTTCAAAGGAGATGAAACTGAATTCAACATCACTCTGACAAACAAAAATGAACTTCTACTAGCAAGAATAGAATATTTGTCATTTGATAGAGAGGCCTTTGAAAATATTTTTTCAAGTCATTCTGCTAATCTATTCCACAAATTGTGTTAGACGCCTTGCAACATTGTCCAACAAATTGTACAAAGATGCTTTTCACATGACATAAGATTTTTTGATATAATTATCCAAACAAGGTAAAAATCTGTATAGTTACTTTCATCTTATTCTGCTAATCCGTTTCAGATAGATTGTAGGAAGATTTGCATATAGTAATCTCATCCAAATAGCATCTTCCTTAAAAAAAACACCTGACACAATCATAACAATTGATATATACTGTACTATACGGAAACACCAAAAATTTTCTTTCTTATTCTTCACTTTCCCCAATAACCATTAACAGAATACCTACACTGAATAAATGAGGAGAATTTAAACCACTGATGATCTTGACCCACTCAACTGAACCCAATCTTTCGGTTTAATAATATGCCTTGGAGTAAAGAGTACTAACCGGTCACTCCAGTAGTCAATACACCTAAATGCTTGGTAATTTGAAACAAATGGGTCACACTTGTCTGGTCCAATAGCTTGTCCTGTTCACAACATCCGAACAATCAACCCCCAAAAAAACAACTTATGGGAAACTTGGAGAAATAGTTTCAATATAAGTTCAACAACTTATGGGAGAATCGGAGAGTTTAAACATGGGAAACATTTCTACAAGTGATCCAATATTAAATATCCCTCTGTCCTAGAATATTTGCCCATGTTTGACTTTTTGCACTCAATCTTTGACCTATAATTAAATCAAAAGTATATGATATACTAATCAGATAAAACAATATTTTACAAGATAAATCTAATAAAATTATTTTTTTGTATCAATATCTAACATCAATTTTATTTAATTTATGGTCAAAGGTTGTCAAATTTAACAGCAAAAAGTCAAAACTAGACAAATACTTTGGGACGGAGGCAGTACTATTTTCAAGTACCCATAAGTTGTTTAATCCCTATATTAGAAATTGCATTTGAGGAAAACTTGGTTTAACACACAAAAAGTCACTATAACTCCTAGTCTATTTTTTAGCGGGTTGAACTGAGCCGTGAGAACTCAGAACACCCTTTCTTTAGGCTCTTTCGCGCAATACATTTTTACCATCCTCTTTTTTAGAGAGGTTATCGACACATACTACATGAGCAATTTTATATTGAACACAAATATTAGGTGAATATTCAGTGATGACTTCAAGTTATCTGCATTATACACATTTTCATGGAATTGGGTTCCATTCTCTTAGTTATTAAACCTTGTACCCTTACAAACACTACATGTTTAAAGTGAGGTACCCTTACACCATATGCAACACCACAAGTAAGAGGCTTCTCAAAAATTGTCATTTCTTTGTAGTTTGTATCTCACAAAAGTTGTGCTTTTACAGAATTGCTTAGAACAGGGTGCTTTTTGCTTTTTATAGAATTGCCTAGAACAAGGTTTCTGGGGGTTATGTGCAACGGTAGTTGGAGTAAAAGAGTTAAAGTGTCAAAGACAGTATATGCAATGTTGTTAGAAGCGGTGTTGGCGTTGTAGGTGGCCACATGGAAGGGATTAGAGTTGTAACAAAATGGAAAATGTTTCAGGCAGTAGTGGAGAGAGCGGTGGCGGAAATGATTGTAAATTTGTAACTAATAATCAAAATGCCTACCTCATCCTATGACTCAAAGAAACCTTGTCTTAGGTGACTATAAAAAACAGTCACAAAAGTGACTTTTGCAAGACACGCAAAAATGACAAGTCTTGAGAGACCTCTAACAAGTGGTGTTGCATATGTGGCGAGGGCACATCACCATGAAAGAGAAAAATTTAAAGGGAACAAGATTGGACAATTAAATGGAATCCAATTTCATGCGATTGAGCATCAATCATAAAACCTAAATTCATCCCCAATTCAAGTGGAATATGTCCATGTTATAATTTCTCAAGATATAATTTACGGAGTATCATGTAACATCTGTCGATATGCTTCCTTGAAAGGAAGAACTTCAAAAAGAATTACGTCTACATGCTTGCGGAAAGGGTGTTCTCACTGCTCTCCATCCAAGCTGCTAAAAACAAACCAACTTGAAATGATACTGGTATTTGTTATGCATCTTCTGAAATACAACTCCAAATGAGAGAACAAAAGCAAATTATGGTACTTTGGACGAGTTGCTTTAGATTGGATAACATGTAAAATAACTTCTTTAACCGTTTGCAAGTTAACAAATCATTCTTATCAATGTCTATGCAAAAACTAATTTCTCAAATCCTATATGTATGCATGTTCATAACACGGAGCATGTTAGCTCCCAAAACTTTGAGATCCATTCAAAAAATATGAAATATTTTGCAGATTCAAACAAAAGCCATCATCATGATCATGACTTGTTATTGTTACCTCATTTGGCACCTTACAATTGTAAGCTTAACTTAATACACTTTGAAGAGGTCAAGTCTCTCTAGG